TTTGGTAGTTATCCCCTGTTTTAACCAGTGAAGTTCATAGTGTTCGTGCAGGACGGCATCTTGCTACCAAGTTAAATATTTTGGTACAGCAACATTTTGACTTGGCTTCAACTACTATTACAAATATTCCAATGAAGGTAGGCAGTACTTTTTCTTGCTATTTTGAAAGTTCTGGTATGCTTTTTAAATATTTGTTTGACATGTATTATTTATTTTTATTGGACCTTAACTTTTTCTCCCCATATCATATTTTCTGTTTTGCTAGCCCACATTCAGTGTCTTTGACCAGGTCAGTACATAGTGAAAAGCAACAAAAAGGATCACAGAACAAAATTCTGTAGTTTTCTTTCTCGTAAGAGTACTATATATCAGCTTTTTGTTTTTAATTATGTTCTCATTATTTTCATCAAAATACAATCTCTATCTTAAATGATTATTTTTTCTGTGATTCTTTTCCTGATAGTTATGTTATTAGATTTTACTTTGTGCATCCTAGTGGATCTTTTATTTCCTGTATTTTTGTTCTTGCTCATCTAGTATGAAGGTGTTTGTAACTAATAGGCCTGACTATAGAAAAAATAGCTCATAGTTTTTAAAAAGTTTATTATACTCTAGCTGAAAAACCAAAGATGTAAGTTTTATGATTTTACTAATGGATTTTCTTAGGAATCTGTTGGTACCTGTTTATTTCCATTATGTCATCATTAAGTTGTCTAGGACAAGCACAGTTTTAAGTCCAATTTCATTGTTTTGCCGCCATATGACGAACACTGAATTTCATGAGAAGTATAATCTATTCATTATTAATTTCCTCCTTATAAAATGGCTGGCTCTTTAATAGAAATTGTAGCCTTATCTAATAGAATGGTTTGGATGCAGAAATTATCAAGTAAAATAGCATAATATATTTTAATATGTGTAATTTCATGAGGTACAAGAAAAATACTCTGAGGGTGACAGATACCTTGTTTTTTAAATTTGATCATATTTGTGTGCGACTGGTGTGACCCTTTCTTCAATCTTTGTCTTTTCCCTGTAAACTGATGTTATTGAAGTTCTTATTTACTCTTTAGTGAAAACAAGTTACTAAACTTGTTTATTAGTCTGTATTTACTATTTTATATAACTGGTGTTGCTAATTTCCTGTAGGTATTTAAAGATGCTATTTCCTCCTTTAAACAACTATTTCACTTTGAGTTTGTATAAGCTACTTCAGTTGTATTTATAAAATGTATTGGCAAGACAATGCATTTAGAGAAAAAAAACTCTAAAATTCTGGAAGAGTCATTTATGTTAATTCTGATGTAAGAAAAATCATTAAATATTACTTCTATGTAGCTAGTAGTTTTATAGAGTTCATATTGCTTTGGAAAATTATTGCATCTTTAAATAGATTACTGAGCAAACTGTCCCAATATTATAGCTAATTATTGTTGGGTATATTTTATCTCACTTTAAGCAAAAAGCAAAGTGAATAATAACTTCATTATTTTGAAAATAAAACTAAATTATTTTAAATTTTACTTTAAGGAAGAACAACACGCTAATACATCTGCCAATTATGATGTGGAACTACTTCATCACAAAGATGCACATGTGGATTTCCTGAAAAGTGGTAAGAAAAGGACATTGAAAAGTTTTATTTTGTAAGATCTAACCTATGAAAGCATACTAACAACTTTCAGAAGTTTGTCAGTAAACAGACCTGATTGGCTGTAGTCCACCTCTTTCCACACTTATTCCACAATGCTGTCTACTAATGGCCATGGAACTAGTGTCCTGTAGAATTTACTTTGGGAAACACTAGCCTCCTGGAACAAATACTGAGATAGCCGGTACAGTCATGTCCTAGTTTCTCTTTTGCAAGCAAATCACCTTGGGAAAGCAAGAGGAACAAGAACTGACTTGAAAGAGTGATAGAGTTCCAACTTGCCTGCATAAAGATCAGTTGTTCTGAAATCTAAATTTGTTGTTTTCTTCGAAAAATTATTCGAGTCAGTAGGTCTCATCACCAATATCATGATTTCTGCAACTCTATTAGCATAACTTGGGAGAAGGCTCTGGAGTTAGTAGATCAGAGTTTTAGCTAAAGCTTTGCCACCAGCTAGCAAGATCTGTATGTTTCTAGACTTGAGTTTGCACACTTTAATAAAATAAAGATGCTGGATTAGATGAACTAATAATCCATCCATTCCGAAAAAAATTCAGTGAAATTGCCTTTAAGTTTTGACATTTGATTAAATCCTTTCTAATGTTTTCTCTGTAAGTTGATGCTATCAGAGAATTAAATGGTTAACTTTGATAATGTTTTATACATCTTTTTTGAAGTTAGTATCCATCAACCAGTCGTAACATTTGTTCAGTGTATAAGAAATCTTGAAATTAATCTAATACGAATTTGTAATGTGAAAAAAACTATTAAGATAAACAGATGTATTAATGTTTAACAAAGGAATGTAAAGAACTTGTTTTTGAAAATATGGTGTGTGGAACTTATGTCACTAACTGAGTTAATACCAACTTTTAAAATATTTTAAAACAAAAAAATGTTAAGAATATCTTTTGTGACACAAAATATTTCTCTAAGATAGTAATTGACATGTTGTCTGTGTGACACAAGGGAACCATTTGTAAATGCTGTAGTAGCACTATGAATAGGGTGCTGTGGGATCACGAGGGTTGCATGTGATTATGCCTCCGTGACTTAGGCAAGCTTTACAGAGATGACATTAGAGCTGGACTTGGATGAGTAGGCTTGCGCTTTAGCTCAGATAGCTTCCGTAAGCTGTAGACCTATATCCTCTACTGCCTAATTATATCTGCTAGGTGTCTCTCCGGCACCTATAACTCAACATTCCCAGAACAACTTAGGAGCCTGCCCCCTGAACTGGTCTTCTACTGTCCCCTCTCTTAGTGAATGGCCCTATTGTCTACCCAGTTGTTTAAGGCAGAAACCTCAGTCATCTTTGAGACATCTCTGTATCATTCTTCATATCTAGGCCATCATCACATTTTCTTGATTTTACCTATTAAGTGTCTCCCAAATACATTCATACAACTGCATCTCTACTGCCATTACCATCTCCCTGATCCAGCCTATTATTTTCTTATCTACTATTCCTTAGTAGCCCCTTAAAATGGTGTGTCTCCTCTTGACCTGTGAGCTAGAATAGCTTTCAGAATGCTAATCCTGACCATGTTCCCTTAGCTTAAAACCCTTTATTGTTTTTGTTACCCTTTGGATAAAGACCCAACTGTTTAAATGTCTTACCAGTCCCTGCATTGCCTGGCCTGTCCTCCTTTCCATTTTCCTCTCACAACGTACTCCTGTTTCAGTGCATAGGCCAGAAACTCCATGCTCCTTCCTGTCACAGTATCTTGACATTTGCTGTTCTTTCCTTGCTCAAATGTTCTTTTCTTCATTTCTTTAATTTCTCCTTATCCTTTGACAACTGAACCTAGTTTTTTCACTTCTCAAAGAAACCTTCCCTGGTGTCGTAGATTGGGTCAGATCTCTGTGTATAGATGCTCATGGTACTGTACACGTCTCCTTCAAAGCATTGTCAACTTTATAGTCCTCACTTGTTCATTATTATTTTCTTAACATCTGTTCACTCTGTTTTACTATAGACTCCATTGAGGCAAAACATGCTCATTGTTACATCTTTTTATATTTATTTTCTAGATCCCTTATTTTATGGTTCTCCTCATAAATTCATTAGGATTCAGTTCATTTTAGATTCCTGACACTTTCTTTGAGTATTTGACCATATTACGATTTCATGGTGTCAGAGGAGAACAGTTGTATATTATTAAAATAAACAAAAATTTTTGCTGTTGACTTTCAGTGCAGTGACTGAAATGATTAATGAGAAATTTGAAGATAATTGAATATTTGTTTTAATCAGAGCAAATATCTAAACTCCTTTTGGTGTTATTCTAGGATACTTTATAGAATTGATGTTCTCCCAGAGGTGTTTTCTCCTATAGAGTTTAAACTGTTTTGGAAGTCTTACTTAAGTAAATGATTTGAAGTTTGTGATCTATTTTGTAATGTCTCTCTGGCTTATTTTTAAAGGTGATACTCACATAGGTGGCAGCAGTAGAGAAGGCTCGTTTAAAGAAACGATAACATTAAAATGGTGCACACCCAGGACAAATAACATTGGTAGGTATTTTAAGGAAATTGAAATAGGGGTGCCTGGGTGACACAGTTGGTGAAGTGTCCAACTCTTGGTTTCGGCTCAGGTCGTGGTTTCACGGTTTGTGAGTTCGAGCCCCTCATTGGACTCTGCACTGGCAGTGCGGAGCCTGCTTGGGATTCTCTGTCTCCCCTTGCTCTCTTTCCCTCCCTAACTCATGGTCTCTCTCTCTCTCTCTCTCAAAATAAACTTTAAAAAAGAAGAAAAGAAAGGAAAAAAGAAAAAGGAAAGGATAAATCAAGAGGTTCTAAAAGTGGGTATATGTAGGGATCATTAGTTTATTTTTGAATTTATGTTTTTCATTGTTTTAGGGGCTCAACGAACATTTTTCCCCCTCTTTTAATTGTGGAAATAATTCCTTTATATTCTTTCAAATCAGTGTTTTCTCCCATTTCAGAATTACACTATTGCACTGGCGCTTACCGAATTTCACCTGTAGACGTAAATAGCAGACCTTCCTCCTGCCTTACTAATTTTCTTCTAAATGGTAATTTTCAACATTTAATTGTTTGGGCTGAAAATATTACAAGTGAAGTTATTAGTAAGGATATGTGAAAATCTGTACTCTGGAAAGCTCTTTTAAGATAACCTAAAACTGTTTTATCTTCGAAAACTCTTCTAAAGTTACCTAATTGTAAATACCCTTTTAGCAATTTTATTAATGTTTTAAAAAAATAAGATAACTTTATGTTTTCCATATTGTCATAAAAAGTTTTATTTAAATATTTTTAAGTATTTTTAATTTTAAAATTTGGCTGTTAGAGTCTAAGTTGATTTTTTTGGTAGAATAATACAGACTATTTACCCTGGCCTGTTAAATTTTAAATTGCAAAGTATATATAAACCTCTTTTTGCACACTGTACCTTAATCATAAATAAACATTGCATTTTCAGTATTATGCCATATGATTCTTACCTATATGACTCTTAAGTCTGTGGTTTCCTTGTGTGAAAATTAAAAAAAAAAAAAAATTGGAGTCCATTTGCTAAATTTAAATTCTTAATAGCTTCTCCAGTTGATTCTTCTGATTGACTAGGTTTGAAACCACTGATGTGATGGGTCAAATTTAAGCAAAATTTGATTTTAAGACTGTGTAACGTGTAGATTAAATAACCTTTGGTCATGTGAAATAGAAAGTAGTTATGGTAACTGTGCTGATAAGGAGGTATTGTGCAAGTACATTGAGACTTTGCTTTCTCCCCCAAATGTTGTGTAGCTTTGATAGCTAGAGAGTTATCCAGCAGTTGTCTCTCTGTTCTTCTTGATGTCCAGGAGAAAGATTGTATGTACTTGTAATGTATAAAGGATGTAACCAAACATTGTACCAGAGACCACTATACTTACTTTGGAAAACTGTACAACTATGTAAGCTTTGAGTGACCAAGAGAAAGCTAAGGCTAGAATTCAGACTTTTAGGACTTGAAATGCAGATATACTCAATTAGCTATGCTGCTTAAAATATGAGGTTTAATAGGGGCGCCTGGGTGGCTCAGTCGGTTAAGCGGCCGACTTCGGCTCAGGTCATGATTTCACAGTCCGTGAGTTCGAGCCCCGCGTCGGGCTCTGTGCTGACAGCTCGGAGCCTGGAGCCTGTTTCGGATTCTGTGTCTCCCTTTCTCTGACCCTCCCCCATTCAGGCTTTGTCTCTCTCTGTCTCAAAAATAAATAAACGTTAAAAAAAAAAAAAAAAAAAAAAAAAAATATGAGGTTTAATAAATAAAATGAAAAATCTAGACATAAATAATGAGGAAAAAAATAACAGCCTATATGAGCTTCATCACTGATAGAGTAATCTTGCTTTTGACAGGTCGTTCTGTTTTATTGGAGCAACCACGAAAGTCAGGTTCCAAAGTCATTAGTCATATGCTTAGTAGCCATGGAGGAGAGATTTTTTTGCATGTCCTTAGCAGTTCTCGATCCATTCTAGAAGATCCACCTTCAATTAGTGAGGGATGTGGAGGCAGAGTTACAGACTACCGGATCACAGTAAGATTCTAATACTTACAAATTTTATGTTTTGAGCCTGCCACCATTCAGCAAATATTTATTAAATGCTTATTACATGCTAAGCTCTGTGACAAAATGGGGTTTGGAGAAGTTCATGACTTACTATTTTAATTAGGTGACTTTCCGGCAATACTTGCTCAAAAGAACTATTTATCACTATGTGGTCTTCATTATGTATTCAGTGTATATCGAGAAGTATATGGGTAGCATTGACACCTGGAATTATAGGAAAGAATGGAAATTGACTTGAATATTTCAGGTGGAAGTTTACCTTGTAGTAACTTAATGGCAAATAAAAACAGTTCAATGTTTGGATTGCTATTTTGAAATAACACTAAATTTTTGTTATTTAAAGATATATACAAAGAAATTGTGTCTATTTTGGGTAGAAATCTTATTCTCATTTTAATTTTTCAGTTCCCCTCCTCTTTTATATATTTAGTACTTTATGGTTGTCTACTTTGAGGTGGTGGTGGAAATTAAATGTGATTCATATATAGGAATGTACTTGGTAAATCACAGAAGTGTTATAGACTATAGGTAATTATTTTTGATTAGGCTTTTCTTTATTATTTTTATATCTTTTTTAATAAGGAGAAAATAAGTATTCTTTGCAGAAAATTTAGAGAATATAGGTATCTTTTTTTAATCAAATACAATAGCTGTAAATTACCTATAATTCCATCATTCATAGATAACCACTGTTAACATTTTGATGTTATGTCAAGGTAATTTTTAAATAAGCATTGGTATTCTAAGATGATTAACTCCTTCCTTTATCTGTAGATGATATAAAAGAGTTAAATTATAGAAGTGAAGAAAAATGAGTGTTCTTGGTTTTTAAAAAGTAGAAAGAACCATGAATGCATTGATGTTTGAGCCTTTCTTCCATCTCCATTGTAATAAAGGCTGATAGACTTCATGTTCAGAAAGATGGGGAGAATTAGTAAGGGAAATGTTAGAGAAAATACTTTGTTGCGTATCACAGGAGAGAAGGCATCAGGGCAACAGACTATTACATGTAATCCATACTGAAACATAAGAAAATAGTTTCTAATTTTATTTTATTTGGTTATCATTAGGATTTTGGTGAATTTATGAGGGAAAACAGATTAACTCCTTTTCTAGACCCCAGATATAAAATCGATGGAAGTCTTGAGATCCCTTTGGAACGAGCAAAAGATCAGTTAGAAAAACACACCCGTTACTGGCCTATGATTATTTCACAAACCACCATTTTTAACATGCAAGCGGTAAGTATTAAATAGTTTTCAACCTTTCTTTTTGATTAGTTATATGTTTTTTACAGATAATCATTTCTCAAGCAAAGAATGAAATATATGAGTTTGCTACAGTTAAAGAATTAGTAATAGAAAATTGAAATGATGAATATAGGTTATCTCACTATGGTGATGTTTAAAATCAATTGAAGTTCTCCCTAGATGCTTTGATATTTGTTTTTCAAGACAGATTTTCTTCTTATTTCTTAAAAAAATTCTAACAGGTAGTTCCATTAGCCAGTGTTATTGTGAAAGAATCTTTGACAGAAGAAGATGTGTTAAACTGTCAAAAAACAATATACAACTTAGTTGATATGGAAAGAAAAAATGATCCTCTACCTATTTCCACAGTTGGTACGAGAGGAAAAGGGCCTAAAAGGTAGCTTTTTTCCCTTGCTTTCTCTATATATCACATTTACTTGATGCAGACTGTTTTTTAAGCTAACTTATTTCATATTGTAATTTATATAATTGAAGGTATATATATATATATGTGTGTGTGTGTGTATACATAAGTGTTCATATGTATATGATTGAGATGAAATGATATAAAATCTAAAATAGCAGAATCAGATACATTATAACTTAGAATTACACCACTAAGAAGAAAGAGTCTGTGTTTAATGATTCCTTTTACTTTATTTTACCAGTAGCAAGTGATACTTCAATATTATTTAAAGAGTATTTCTAAAAACGTCATTTCCAATCTTTACTTCAGAGATGAACAGTACCGTATCATGTGGAATGAGTTAGAAACCCTTGTCAGAGCTCATATCAACAACTCAGAGAAACATCAAAGAGTATTGGAATGTCTGATGGCATGTAGAAGCAAACCCCCAGAAGAAGAAGAACGAAAGAAACGAGGAAGAAAGAGAGAGGACAAAGAGGACAAATCAGAGAAAGCAGTGAAAGATTATGAACAGGAGAAATCTTGGCAAGATTCGGAGAGGTGACTTGTTGATAATGTAGGACCGTGGTGCCTTTTGGCACATCACATGCTGCATGTAGCACATTCAAACATTCATGTAATAGTAGTTCACTTAATGTGTATTTGTTTCATTATCTAACTATAATTTTTCATTCTTAAAATCTGAAATATCCTGGGCTTAAGAATTACAGGGATTTTTTGTTTGTTTTTTGTTTTTTTGCTCTTAGGGGCAAAGGTAGTGTTGAATTTTTTAACGAACTTCTGCAAACCATAACATACTATATTTGATATCAGTATTTGCTTTATGCATTATGAATATCAAAGACATGGTTTCATTTGTTCAATAAATACTGAGTGCCTGTGATGTGTCAGGCATTTGGTATTAGATTCTTGCCCTGGAAGAACGTACAGTGGTTGTGATAGAGACAGGCATGTAGGTCATGGGTTACAGCAAAGGGTGGAAGAGCTGCTATAAAAATAGGCACAGGATATCCTTGGGAGCACAGAGGAAGAACATAGTCTTACTTCTGAAACCCTTCCTCAGTAATACACTCTTTCCTTTGTGATTTGTACGGTTATATCATAAAAAGTAGGAAAGTCTTCGAAATGAAAGAATCATAACATTTCAGCTGGCTTTGTCTTCTACCTCTTTGCCAGTAATCAGCAAAAAACCAGGTAAATATTATAATGGCAATGTTAGTAAGGTCCTTAGAAACAAAACAGTTTACTGTGGAAAATTTCAAACATATACAGTAACAGAACAAATAGCTACTCATTTATTTTTAACAGTTCATGGCAGATCCCATTTCATATCTGTCCACAACCACTCACCTCACCAGCACCACCACTATGCCTCCCACATGGGAATATTTTGAAGCTAATTCTAGAAATCCTATCATTTCATCCAAAAATAAGTAGAACATTTTATTCTCTTTGAAAGTAGAAGTTCATTTCTTTCTTAGGGCTACTGAACTTCTGAAACAGAATCAGCTCACTTTAAGAAGAGTGGGGGGAAATATTCTCTTTCAGACACCACCAATCTTTATATATGTTGAAAGGGTTTCTGTTCTCTCTCTTTTTTTTTTTTTTTTAATTTTTTTTTTTCAACGTTTATATATTTTTGGGACAGAGAGAGACAGAGCATGAACGGGGGAGGGGCAGAGAGAGAGGGAGACACAGAATCGGAAACAGGCTCCAGGCTCTGAGCCATCAGCCCAGAGCCTGATGCGGGGCTCGAACTCACGGACCACGAGATCGTGACCCGGCTGAAGTCGGACGCTTAACCGACTGCGCCACCCAGGCACCCCTTTCTGTTCTCTGATGAAACTCAAAATGAGCTTGGAGTTAAGTTCTTAATTTGTGGAATGTAAATACATTTCCACAGCACATAAATTAGGGCACAAATAGTACATTTTTTAATCTTATTTGTAATTTGAAAGAGTATTTTGTCCATATTTGTAAAAATTAAAACTGACATTTCTTCCAAAGATCACATTTCTGACCTCTTTAATTTTAACTTCCTAAATTTTCTCCCATTTTTTCATATTTTACAGCCAACTATATTACTGAATTATTAAATTATGATGATGAAGGAAAAGGGAAATCTGTGTTTAATTCAGTCAGTTCTCTTACCTGATTTTAGGTTGAGATTTGTATTTTCATTAGTTTCTGGGTTTACTTTGTGAGAGCAGCTATCTTTTACTAAAAGCAATATACAAAGTCTAATTATTGAGCTGTTTAGAGTTCTAAAAATTTAAACTATGGAGCGTCTGTCTGGGTGGCTCAGTTGGTTAAATATCCGACTTCAGCTCAGGTCATGATCTCATGGTTCGTGAGTTTGAGCCCTGCATCGGGTTCTGTGCTGACAGTTCAGAGCCTGGAGCCTGCTTCAGATTCTGTGTCTCCCTCTCTCTCTTGTCCCTCCCCTGCTTGCGCTCTCTCTCTTGTCTCTTAAAAAAATGAATAAACATTAAAAAATTAAAAAAACATAAAAAATAATAAAACCAGTAAAATTTAAACTTTAGATTTTATTGTGTGTCCCTCTAACAGATTAAAAGGAATCTTGGAACGTGGAAAAGAAGAGTTGGCTGAAGCTGAGATCATTAAAGATTCACCCGATTCCCCAGAACCTCCAAACAAAAAGCCCCTTGTGGAGATGGATGAAGCTCCACCAGTAGAAAAATCAAAAGGTAGGGTAGAGCTATGGGGGTAGCTGTGTTTGTAAACAGTTTTCCAGTTTAGTTCTGTTTTCTGCGGTGTCATTTAATGTTGTTGCCTATATGAGGAAGAGCTACTAACTGTTCCTGGATGTTGTTGAGGAGGTTCTGTTTACAGCCTTGGAAAATGCAGGCAGTGAATTTATTTCTTGACATTAATGAAAAAGTAGTGTCATACCTTCATTAATGAAGCCTGTGGAAAATAAGCACTTTCACTACAAAGTCTGTGTTTTAAGAAATTTTAATTCTGTAAACTTGAATTCATTTATGTTCCTGACTCTATACTAAGTGTGCTGGGTTTAATGAAGACAGATTTCTTTTCCCTAAACTGCTTACTGAACTTAAGGAAAGCTCTTACATTACCCATCTATAAAGTGGTGTCAGTGAGTTTCAGTAAAGGTATTATAAATAATACTTTCACTGTAAAAAAAACCTCATAATGTTTTCATTTCATTTTATCTCTTATTTATAGACTGAAATGCTTCATTTCTTCTTGAAGGAATTTTGGGTAGCAGAGCTGTGAATTGGGTTTGGGAGCTCCTGAAATCATTGTAGGCTTTAGTTGTCTTGAAGATAAACTAGATTTAGGCCTTTTAGGATAAATGGCAAATAGATAAAAGGATTGTTTGGTTTCTTGCCACTATGCCTCTCCTAAGCAATAAGACCCAGGGGCTGGCCATATTGCACTTATTGGCATTTCATCCTAGAGAGAAGCCTTGTTTGTTTTTATATACTCCTTCTGGAGGTGGGGGGGGGGGGGGAGAGAGAGAGAGAGAGAGAGAGAGACAGTGTGTGTATGTGTGTGTATGTATGTATGTGTATATATATACACACGCTATATATATAGTGATACATGTAAAATATTCTCCTTTCACTGATTTCTTTGGAGCCAGAGATAAGAGCGATCTTATCATATTTGCTTTCAAGCATTTGCCAGGGTTCCTGGAAAGTAAATAAATGTCTTGATAAATTGTTCTATTTTTCATAGGCCAAAATATGCCACTGTTGATTAGGATGAGAAATTTAGGTTTAATCTAAACAATGCATTAATGTTGCTTGTAAAATAGAACTCCAAAAATTATTTATTAGTGGCAAAAAGTTGCAAGCAACCAAAACACTGTTAGGAAGAAAATAACTAAATGATGGTATGTCCATAGGGCAGAATTTATATAGCCCAAGAATAATTATTGCTACAAATGCCCACTGTTCCCTCTTGCTAATGTGTATCATTCAGATTTCAGCTTAAGCAAGTCTTTTTTCAGGAAGGACTTCCTTGATCTCTGTTCACAATTAAGTTAGGTGCTTCCATTGCACCCCAGGATTACACTGAGTAGCACTTAGAGTCCTGCATTGACATTGCTTATTGACATCTTGCCTCAGCTACTAATTGGGAACATTTTAAAGGATGGGCTTTTTATTTTTTAAGTAGGCTCCATATCCAGCCTGGAGTTTGAAGTTATGACCCCGAGCTCAAAAGTCTCATGCTCTACTGGGGTACCTGGGTGGCCTCAGTCAGTTGAGCTTCTGACTTTGGTTCAGGTCACAATCTCGTGGTTCATAGGTTTGAGCCCTGCGTCAGGATCTGTGCTGACAGCTCAGAGCCTGGAGCCTGCTTCGGATTCTGTGTCTACCTCTCAGTCTGCCCCTCCCCTGCTCACGATCTCTCTCTCAAAAAAAAAAAAAAAGCTCATGCTCTACCAACAAAGCTAGCCAAGTGCCTCAATGCTGGGATTTTTAAAAATTTACTCTTAATATCACTACCACTCAATGCAGTCCTGGCCCATAGTAGAAGTTCAATTATTATTTGTTGAATGAATAAATGAATGAATGAGGTAAAGAAAAAAAAAAAACAGGCTACAAAACCATATATACCATTATCTCCACTTTGTTTAAAAAAAAAAAGTTCATATCCACACATACACTTGCTTGTCACTTTAAATTAAATAGATCCCTGATGCTTCACACACTGGAAACACTATATAGAGTGGCGCAGATGAAAAGCAACTTGGTTTCAAACAGAAACCATGTCTCTTTTGAGCAGCAGCTTATACAGGCCTTTTATTATATACTTCAGTTTCATCTGTTTCGGAAAATGACTTCCCAGGACTGTCCAAAGTGAATTTTGTGCCTGATACATATAAGGTTGGGCTATTCCAAACATGCTTTCTGGATTGGATGAAAATCTGTTCAGCTTTTTGTACAATGCAATAGCAGAAAAACCGAAGTGTAGTTTTATTGATATAGATTGCCATTGAATAGGTGTTAGAGCAGTGGTATTATGGATGATTTTATTTTCTCCTTTATATGTTGTCTAAATTTTAACTAATGAACATGTATTAGTTTTATAGTGAGAAAAAGTATTTTTGTTCATTCAGTTTTGGAAAATGTATATGCAGTAATTTTAACTTTTTTTGTTGTGCAATTCTGTGAATTTAGACAGTGTATATAGTTGTATATCATTTGCACCACAGTCACGGTATAAAACCGTTCTGTCACCCCCAGAGATTCTCTAGTACTGCTCCTTTGTAAGTACCCTATACTTCCCTTGTCCCCAATCCCTCATAATGGTTGATGTGTTTTCCTTCCTATGATCTTGCCTTTTTCAGAATGCCATTTAAAGTGAAATCTTAAAGTATGCTGCCTTTTGAGGTGGACTTATTTGATAAAGCATAATGCATTTGCGATTCATCTGTGTTGTGTGTTTGTCAATAGTTTTTTTTATTCCATTGTATGTGACTAGCTTTATTAGAATCTCATTTTTCCAAACTGGCTGATCATTGTGCACCAGAAATTAGTGAGAGTTCTGGTGGTTCTGTATCCCCAACAGTACTTGCTGGATTTTTTTCTTCTCTGACAGGTATAAAGTAGTTTTTCAGTGTGGGTTTAATTTCTGTTTCCCTCATGACTGATGATGGTAAGCTTTTTTTCATTTGCTTATTTTCCATCTGTATATATTTTTCTACTAGAAGGTTCATTCAGGTATTGTAGTTACATCTAAATTGGACTGTTTAAGAGTTTTTTTCTTAGATTTTGAGAATTCTTTATTTTTTCTGGATATAAATGCTTTGTTGGATATGTGGTTTGCAAATGTTTTCTCCCAGTCTGGTTTGTGTTTCTAACAGTGACTTGCAGAACAGAAGTTTCTAATTTCGATGAGGTCCAGTATATCAAAACTTTTTTTGTGGTTGTACTTTTGGTGTTATCTATAAGAAATCTTTGCATTGCCCAAACTCACAGAAGTTTTTTCCTACATATTCTTTTATAAGTTCTGTACTTAGATTTTACATTTAGGCCATGAACCATTTTGAGTTCATTTTTTTATTTTTTCCATATGGTAGAAGATATGAGTCAGTGTTCCCTTTTTTTTGTGTATGCAGTGTCCCAATTGTTCTGGCAGCATTTGTTGACAAGACTGTTTTTTCTTCATTGAATTGCCTTTGTATCTTTATCAGAAATCAATTAATTTGATATGTGGAAGTCTATTTCTGTTTTTGCTTTAATTGTTTTAATTTTATTTATTTTTAAGAGAGAGAGAGAGGAGGAGGAGGGGCAGAGATAGAGGGAGACACAGAATCTGAAGCAGGGACCAGGCTCTGAGCTGTCAGCACAGAGCCCGACGCGGGGCTTGAACTCATGAACTGTGAGATCATAACCTGAGCTGAAGTCAGATGCTTAACTGACTGAGCCACCCAGGCACCCGTTTTTGTTTTTTTAATGTTCCATTGATCTATGTATCTGTTGTTTTGCCAATACAATACTGTCATGATCACTATAAGCAGAATCTTAAAATGAGGTAGTAAGTCTTCTTTTTTCTACTTTTCAAAATTGTTTTAGCTGTGCCAGTGCTTTCTCTTTTCATACTGTGCTGAAGAGATAACATAGCAAGCTTGAAGCTGTTATCTTTAACAAAGCCTGCTTGCAAGTTTGGCCCTTGTTTGGCATCTGACAACTTGGCTTTTAAAACATTCCCTAAATGATGAAGTTATTTTGTCTTATATCTGAGGTGAACACTTACTTTCCGCCTAGGAGTATGGAATTTTGGTAATTGTAGTTTGGCAGAGGATGCATTTGTGACCAGTTCTTAATAAAAACCCAGGACTCTGAGTCTCAAATGGGCTTTCCTGGAAGAAATATTGTATATCCATGGCTGCATGTTTGCTGCTGGAGGGAGTATGCACTTGGGGTTACCCCTCACTCTAGGGAGAGAGCATGGAAAGCCTGCAAGTGGATTCTTTTGCCCTTTGCTTAGTGTATCTTTTGCTCTTACTGATCTGGCTGTGTATCCTTATTGTGTTGCTGCAGTGATTCTTGGTTGTGACTATAACTTGGCTTAGTTAATTGAATCCTTCCAGCAAATCACCAAACTAGTAGCTGGTCTTGGGGACCCCTAAACATTTAGAATAAGGAAAAGATTATATTGCTTTAATGATATAAAATTAGCGATGGTAAATTAAAGGTAAAATTTTTTAATTTGTAAATTTGGGGGCCGCCTGAGCGGCTCAGTCAGTTAAGCATCTGACTTCGGCTCAGGTCATGATCTCATGGTTCATGGATTCAAGCCCCACATCGGGCTCTGTGCTGACAGTTCAGAGCCCACTGCAGACCTTCTGTTTCCCTCTCTCTCTGCCCCTCCCCTGCTCACGCTTTGTCTCTCTCTCTCTCTCTCTCTCAAATACATTTTTTTTTTAATTTGTAAATTTTGAGGTAATGAATTATTACACCTTTTTCCTCTTCTTTCACACTGTAACACCAGGTCCAGTGTCCTTATTATCCCTGTGGAGTAATAGAATCAATACTGCCAATTCCAGAAAACATCAGGAGTTTGCTGGACGTTTGAACTCTGTTAATAACAGAGCTGAATTGTATCAACATCTTAAAGAGGAAAATGGGTTTGTATTATTTATTGTAGAAATTGGTTTTGTGAATTGCTTTAAGTTAAAAGTAATAAACGTTGCTTGTTTATCGTGTTCAGTAATTTTTTACTACTAATGTAATGAGTTGATATGTGTTACCTCTAAAGAGAAAAAATCTACTTCCTTCGGTTCTTGGTACTTATAAAAGACTTGATTACGTTGATCACAACCTTGAAAATATATATTCCTTAGAGCATTTCATTGCTCAGTAAGCATCATAGAGGGAAAATTGGGGAACACTTGATATACAACACTGAACCTGTATAAAATAATGGGGGAGAAAAACGTTCCTGTTAAGTAATACAGTGTTAGGAATATTGACTTTAATTGAACAAGTCTCAAGTCTGATTATTTTAATATCCTTTTTGGAAGACCTCTTGAAAATGTATTGGTAAAGGAGTTTCTTTACTAGAAAAGGGGAAAAGGAAGTAAATTTTTGACTAAATGGTAGAGGTTTTTTTCCTTAGCTTTAAGTTTGAAGAGGTATCATGAAAAAAGTAGCCTTTGAAATGAAACCTTGGGAAGGGGACTTACTTCCTCTAAGCTTCAGTGTGCATCCGTCTGTGGAACCAGGAACGTAAGAGTAGCAGAAGAATCCTAACTGTAGTCCTTTTCTAAAGGACGGATGTTCTTTTGTCCTGTGAATATATAAACAGTTTAATTTTGTGTGAAAGTTGGAGAAAAAATATGGGCAATTATTGAAATGTTTTATTTTAGCAACTCATTTTTCTCTTCTGTTTTTCAGAATGGAGACAACAGAAAATGGCAAAGCCAGCCGGCAGTGAAGAATGACTTGAGGAACTAAAATTTACTATATTGCATACATATTTTGGGCAGAATTTGATATAAGTACTTTTACAGCAAGATTGTATAGTTATAGTTGCCTGGACTGGTTTTTACATTTTTAAAATATTTCAACTGACTTTATCTTTTTTGTATTAATTGTAAAATTGGCACATATATCAAAAATATACATTTGAAATTTGTCCTCCCAAATCACACAAATTTATTTTATGGTAAACAATGTTCCCTCTGGAAATGTTTTTTAAAAAATTCTTAGGCTTCTCTTTGCCAAATAAAAACTATTAAAATTTCTGAAATGTAAAATATTGGAGTATTCTTTTAGAAAAGAGTTGATTTAATGACTAACGATTTTTAGAAATTAAAATTATCAGGATTTAGGTGAGATTTGCAATGTTTAACATAAACTATTTCCTATTAGTTTGCAACATATACAGTGCTTTCCCAAAAAACAATGTTGTTTTTATTTTATATTTTAAATTATTTTGTGTATGCATTGACCATTTAAAGGCAGAACTTTTAGGTAGTTGGTATAAATTTATATTTACCCATTTAAATAATGTTGCATTTTTTTTCTGCTAAAAAGTGTACTGTCCATTGGCTTTTCGTATTGAAAGAGAAGCATAAAGATTACTTCATAGACTTAGAAGAAAGGAAAGTTACTGGGTTATTGGTGTTTACCCCTGAATAGCATCTTGGTCTCCTTACATCTCAGAAGTGTCATGGTTATATGGCATATGTTTGGTGAGTCTCCTTGTGCTTCTTCACCTGGAGGCTTATAACATGCTACAAGAAACCTGTTATTCCAGTGTTAAATGCTACTTCTAGGCTTGTCATTTTCCCCTGAGTGTTGAGTAGAGGACGGAGAAAGCTTTATTTAAACCTACAGGTCAGTATTTTCTGTTAAAATGACTGGTGTTTAAACAAGGGTTAGGTGGGCTCCCTTGTCAAGGCAGTGAAATTTATATCGCTCTCTTTTGTCAACTACTGTCTTGGTCTCAGCCCTTCCATAGGTCCTCTCCTCTAGACTCGAGCTGTTTTTATCCTTACCATTGTGTGTAAATACACACTTAACACAAATCCTACACAAGCATGACCAGGCCTGGTTAGCACCTCAAAGATTTAAGGAGCTGTAAACCCAATCCTGAATACATTCTGTTTGGGTTCTGATCTTTTGTGTTTTATTCTTGATACCCAGATTTCAACTTGTGCCCACTTGGGGACCCTGGTTTCTTTCTTTCTTTCTTTCTTTTTTTAATTTTTAAATGTTTATTATTTATTTTTGAGAGAGAGCATGAGTGGGGGAGGAGCAGAGAGAGACACACACACAGAATCTAAAGCAGGCTCCAGGCTCTGAGCTGTCAGCACAGAGCCTGACACTGGGCTCAAACCTGTGAACTGTGAGATCATGATCCAAGCTGAAGTTAGATGCTTAACTGACTGAGCCACCCAGGTGCCCCACAAAGAAATTTTTTAATGTTTGTTTATTTTTGAGAGAGAGAGACAGAGATAGATCATGAGTGGGGGAGGGGCCAAGAGAGATGGAGACACAGAATCCAAAGCAGGCTCCAGGTTCTGAGCTGTCAGCACAGAGCCCAACAGGGGGCTTGAACTCATGAGCCGTGAGATCATGACCTGAGCAAAAGTCAGACGCTTAACTGACTGAGCCACCCAGGTGCCCCCCTGGTTTATTTCTTGATCCTAAAGTCTTCACAATGTACCCTCAAAGACTGGGATCCTTTTTTACTCTCAATTTATGCTTCTCCCTTTCCAATGTGCAAAGGCCATGCTACCTGTTGACAGTCTTATCTATATTGCAGTCTCTTTTTTTTTTTTTTTT